CCTGCCTCAGCCTTCTGAGTAGCTGGAATTACACGTGATTTCCACCAGGCCCAGCTAATTTTTGTATTTTTGGTAGAGACTGGGTTTCAACATGTTGACCAGGCTGGTCTTGAACTCCCGACTTCAGGGGATCTGCCTACCTTGGCCTCCTAAAGTATTGGAATTGCAGGTGTGAGCCACCACCTGTAGCCCCTTGTGTTTTATTAAGAGAGGCCTCTAACCCACGCTGTCTTAGGAGAGAGTCTAACTCTCCCTTAGTTGGGCCTCTAACCCAATTCCATGATTTTCCCAAGTACCCCACCACTTACCTTAAGTCATCCAACCAGTGCTGCAGTCTATTTCCTTTGGATTGGGGGGTTTCCTCAGTATCATCCCTTCCATGGTTCACCAGAAAGACGTCATCGGACCCCACCACTTACCCAAAGTTAGCTATTGGGTCAGGGGGTTCTGCCCTATAGTCGCTTCCATGGTCGCCAGAAAGTACAGGAAAGGGGTCCTGATTCAGACCCCAGAGGGGGCTGCTGGACCTTGAGCAAGAAGGAATTCAGGGTGAGTCCATGGAATAAAGTGAAAGCAAATTTATTAGGAAAATAAAGAAATAAAAGAATGTCTACTCCATAGACAGAGCAGCCTCGAGGGTTTGCTAGTTGCCTGCTTTCATGGTTAATTCTTGATTATAGGCTAAACAAGGGGTGGGTTATTCATGTCCTTCCCTTTTAGACCATATAGTGTAACTTCCTGACATTGCCTTGGCACCTGTAAACTTATGGGTTAATAGGAGTGTAGTAGTGAGGATGACCGGAGGTCACTCTCATCACCATCTTGGTTTTGGTGGGTCTTGGCTGGCTTCTTTACTACAACCAGTTTTATCAGCAAGGTCTTTGTGACCTGTATCGTGTGCTGACCTCCTGTCTCATCCTGTGACTTAGAATGCCTTAACCATCTGGGAATTCAGCCCAGTAGGTCTCAGCCTCATTTTACCCAGCTCCTATTTAAGATGGAGTTGCTCTGGTTCACACACCTCTGACAACAGGGGCGTCTGTGACCTCTGCTTTTCCTGAAGGAGGCTTTGTGAACTTCAGTATTTAAAGGGGAAAGAGCAAGCAGAAAAGGGGAAAAGGGAAGAGGGGAGGGAGGCAGTGAGGCCAAGGCTTACATCTTGTGCAGCTCTGTCCAGCTTCAGTAAATCTACATTTCATATGTGAAAAGATGGAGTACGGGAGAATCCCAACTATGCATTACCTCCAGCTCAGTACGTCAGATTCTACAGAAGATGAAGCAAGCTTGTGAAAAGAGGGAGCAGAGGGAATGAGGCTGTGAAGTCAGTCTATGTATTGACCTAATTGTCTCTCAGTGTATTTATGTGTGTTAAAATATCCAAAAAGCTCTGGAGATGCAGCCAGAAGCTTTCTCTCACTTCAATAACGCCGGGGTGCTGGGAGCAGACAGACCAGTCTGGGAGAAAGGAGGGCAAGGGTGACTCCTCCTGAACTACAGAAGGCGATGATGCGGAACCTGCCATAGACAAGCTGCACGGGCTTTGCTGTCCTCCCCAAGCCAGTGGCCAGCCTTCTGTCCCCATGGGTTTCCCCGGGGCGGGGGGAGGCTGCTCAGCCATGTGAGGGCAGGGAACAAAAGCAGCAGCATCTCCAAGACAAGGTAGGGGGCAGACAGACATGATCAGGCTAAAGTTAGCTTTCAGGTGAAGAACTCAGCAACTGCCTAAGACTTAGAAACCAATGCACAAAGCTAAGATTTAGAAACAGATGAGCAGACGCCCATCACCCTGAAGACCGGCCCAGAGCTGGTGGTAGGACTGCCTAGAGTTTCAGGCTGGGCAGGACCACGAGGCAGCATTCCCGGTCCGGGATTAAAAGGCCACAAAGGTGCTTGATGCAATCCACAGGCGCAGGAAGGCAAGACCACTCAAGTGCAGCAGGCTAGCCTTCTCAGCCTTGTCTCTCAGGACTCCAGCGGTGGTTCTGCTGAGTCCTAAACTTACCCCTGAGGCTCGGCACCCCCCCACTGGAAACCAGAAGCCGACCAAGCAGACCCAAATGCCGCAGAACAAGCTCAGGCTCAGTATTTCCAAACAGGAGAGAGACTGTCTCCCTCCACTCCTGGCCGGTCCCTCCCAGTGACTGGGGATTTTCTGTTGCTGGAGAGAGGTCCACTCATCTCCCTCTGGAATTCCGAACCTTCTGGAAGACTATTTTAGTTTTCATGTCTGTCAGTCCTTCACATAGTAGGGAGTCAGTCCCCCATGGGGGAAGCTTGAGTCCCAGGGCAGGGCTCACTGGACACCTGTGGGGCTAGAACCCCACCCTGAGCCCCTTCACCCGTATCCTCATGCTCCAGCCTCCCTGCACTTCTCCCACTCCCAGTACAGGCCGACCCTTTCCACCTGTGTTCTAGCATTTTCTACCCCTCCACTTGCCTGGTGAACGCCACATGAGTCTTCGTGGCCCCACGCAGAGGACTTTCCCTCTCAGCTTCTGCATTCCGTCCTCACTGTCCCCAGAAGGATTTGCATTTGTGTTTTAACAATTAAGAGCTAAAATTAGGGATAGGGTCTTGCTCTGCTGCCCAGGCTGAGGTACAGTGGCTTTAACACAGCTCACTGTAGCCTCAGACTCTGGGGTTCAAGGATCCTCCCGCCTGGTCCTCCTGAGTAGCTGGGACTACAGGCATGCACCACCACACTGGTTAATTTTTCCTTTCTTTCCTTTTATTTTTTTGTAGAGACGGGATCTCAGATTGCTGACCAGGCTGGTCTCAAACTCCTGGCCTCAAGTGATCCTCTCGCATCAGCCTTGCAAAGTGCTGGGATTATAGGCGTGGGCCACCTCGCCAGCCCAGATCTCCTTTTTAAACAGCAAAGGGCTTGATTGCCTTGCATTCCTCCATATCATCTCTTGCCCTGGCACTGCAGTTAGAAGCCAGCACATGCTGTATGCTATATAAATGTATGTTGAGTGCATAAATTAAGGGCTGCCATAGGAAATGCCTCTTACTAGAGTGAGGCTTCTGAGAGGAATTGGACTTGGGTTTAGAACTTCAGGGGAAATGATTCCTGTCTGATCTGTGGAGGGGTGACCTGCCTCGTGGTGGCGTGCAGCCTGCTCCCTAACCTGCTATTAAAAGATTGCTGGCAGAATGGTCTGCAGATCTTCTATGTACTGTAAATAATCAACCCAGGTAAGGAAAATTCCTCTGCATAGTTCTGCTAGTTAAATTCCACCCCAAACAAAGCTATCAGAACACAGTTATTTCTGTCTTAAGAAGGAACAGCTAATGCCATTAGAAATGATGGAAAAAAGAATCCTCTGTCTTTACAGAACAAAAAATGAAACCTGCTTCAGAAGACCACCCATGGTTCTAGAGAAAGTGGTTTTGCTGGTAAGCTTTTAAAATTCAGGTCTTTTGGAGAGGCGAATTTGAAAGCAGCCATAAATCACACTAATTCCAATGCCACTAGCCATTCATAAGATGACCCCACCTTGGCCAGCTGACTCCAGAGTAGAAAGCTTTCAACCCTCCTTTGGCTGATGTGTGACATAACCGATACTATGATGAACGGCTGCCTTGACTGAGGATGATTATATCCCCATAATCACATACCAGAACTTACTAAAACTTGTTTGATGTTATAGAAGATACTAAAACCTCTCACACCACTGTTCACTTTCAACACTGAATAATAAACTTAAGCTCTATCTACTGACCTTAGTTGGTGCCAAATTTGTTTTTTAAAAATGAGACAAGGCCAGGTGTCATGGTTTACACCGATAATTCCAGCAATTTGAGAGGTCGAGGTGGGCAAATTATTTGAGGTCAGGAGTTTAAGACCAGCCTGGCCAACACAACGAAATCCCATTTATATCAAAACAAACAAACAAACACCCCACAAAAAGTGGCCGGGCGTGGTGGCATGCGCCTGTAATCCCAGCTACACAGAAAGCTGAGGCAGGAGAATTGTGTGAACCCGGGAGGTGCACACCAGAGTGAGACTCTGTCTCAAAAATAATTAAATTTAAAAAATAAGAAATCAGACAAAAACTTCTTAGTTTCAAATGGGACACATTCAGAACAAGTAGCTATTTGCAGAGACCTTACTGAGAGTGGTAATGATGAAAATGTGCCGCTATTTCTGTAGAACACTCCAGACTGGGAAGAACCTTATTTGCTTTGAGTTAATTTTCTGAGTTAATGGATTTATGGTACCCATAAGCTAAATCGGTCTCCATGGACACCAGGAAAGTCCACGTACTCTGAGGGGCTGGGTGTGAGTGGGGCGTGGTGGGGGAAGAAGTCAATGTCTTTTCCTCAGATAATCCAGTGTCAACAGCAGAAACTCACACCTGAGGGCGTCGCTTTAACATTTTTAAAAGTTTTTTTTTTTCAGGAAGTTTAAAGTCCTCTCTCAAAACCTAATAATATCCTTAAAAGCTTTACTGAGTAGACAAGAAAAGGAAGGATGCGTCCTCTGTGGGAGTCCCGGGCTTCCTCTCTTCAGGCTCCCTCTGCAGGACACCTGGCTGAGCTCCATTAAGAAGGATACAAAACTTTCTCTTTAGTTCCTTCCCTCTTTGCACCATAAAAGGGAAACAATGAAGAGACCATGATAAGACCTGGATGCCAAGGCTTCTCAGGGGTCGCAGAGACCTTCCAGTAGCCTGATGGCCCGGTTACGTTCCCAAGCTCTCCCTCACGGGACACCAGTGAGGATTACAAATCACCCTCCAAAACCCTGAAGAGCCAGAGTGGGTTCCATCCCAAGGAGCAGAGTTTTTAGTGGCAGGGCCTCGTTATGCTGTCCAGGCTGGCCTTAAACTAGGCTCATGATCCTTCTGCCTCAGCCTCTTGAATAACTGGGACCACAGGCAGAAGCCGCTGTGCTCAGAGGGAGCAGCACTCCGCAAGGCCCTCCGACAGACTTCTGAAAGAAAAAAACACGTCCACATCCAAGAAATCAATCATTCTCTCACTGAACACACAACTAAGAATACCAGGTGACAATTTTATTCACAAATAAAAAAGGCATTACAACACTATTTAAGAAAATAATAATTTACAGTTATAAATTCCAGTATGTAAATGATGGTGAAATTTGCACAGTAATGATGAAATTTAAATTGATTTAATCTATTTTAAAGCAATGATGGTTCTCCTTTCCTTTCTTTTTTACTAGCACGACAGTCGTGCTTAACCTAGGGAATAGCAGTATTAACACTTTATCTAGAGTAGAAAAATCTCTATTTAAAAATATATTCCATATACATAAAATTAGAAAATCCATGACTTGACTTGGTTGTTCTTGAAATCCTTGTCTCACTCTTGCCAACGAGCTTCTGCAGCGCAAGAAGCCACAGTGGTTCCACCCATCACCTTCCTGACCTCAGGACTCCAGCAGCTGAGCTTACTGAGCGCTATGGGATATTCCAATAAAGTGAAGTGCAAACGATTTTTTTTCTCAAATGTTTACAAAATGTTACACAAACAGTGTAAAATAGAACATTTCTGTATATTTCTAGAGCAGGTAGAGTAAAATATCTTCACTTTGATAAAAATTACCCAGGGTTTATCCAATTCAGTAGAAAACGAAATCATTTTTCAACTCTCTACTGATGGAAAATTATGTTTTAGGATTTTTGGCCAAAGTCTCATTCCCATCAGTCTGACTTTCTCCAGCAAGTGTTTGTCCTTGAAGTTAATCAGGGCTCTACATATGGAAAATATAGACAGGCTCCACCAGGAACACAGCCCTGCCCGCTTCCATCATCCCTCTGCGGTATCAGACAGGGCCAGACTGCAAACAGCGTATGTGAATCACGGTGAGGGCACACGAGGAAACTCTACTTGCATTTTCATAGCCATTGTGTGGCCAAACCCTAACTATTTTACATATCCTAAAGGCAATTCTCCTAAGAGTTCATGACTACCAAAGGACCACTAGTTTATCCTTTAAAAAAAAAAAGGAAAACAGGAAAAGTCAATTAACTATGACTGGGCACTAGGTTGACAGGGCAGATTGCCCGTTGCAGTGAAACACTCTTATTTCCTATTTCAGATGAGGGAATTGAGGTCATGAGATGTACCAGACACAGGTGAGCTAGTAAACACATATCAGAACCTAAAACTGTGGAGAAAAGGCCACAGGAGAGAGGGCTCATTAAAATTTACTCATACCTCACAAAGAGAGAAAAACATGGGTAATATGTGAGAAGATACAAATGTCCTAGGAAAGATGGATGCATTTTAATATTCAGTTTAAATGTTAAAAGACAGTGCCTTGGGCAGGGCAGTTCATAGTGCACTCGAACATACTGATGTTCAAAAGTCTAAAAAATAAACCCTCTTCAACTAAGTCCTCTCCAGGGCATAAAGATTAAGGGCAAATAAATCATTCCTTATTTCGTGACTGAACAGGGTTAATTTCTGTCTTAGCTCTAGAGACAATGCTAGTGTGTAAATACCGAGCAGGTAGGGGATGGAGCACCTTAATAGAAAGAAGCACCATCCTCTTAACTCCCACATCAGATGGCTAAAGTAGGAGATGATATGCTAACTAATCTGGTCCTGGTCAAACTACACGAGGGCGGTTACAGCTGGTTCATCTAAACCCCTACAAATTGTGTGTTTTCTTCTAGTCCTAACATGGTATGTTCTCATGGAAGACTACTTCAGTAGGAGGGGAACCTGACATGTTGTAATTTCTAAAGCCTTTAGTACAAGATACAATGCAAGTAAAAGATCATTTATGTTTATAAATACCCTTTTTCTATAAAAGAAATTCTGAATCTTCTAAGCTCAGGCAGAGGGACAGATGCAACAAATGTTTCTATATCAACTAATTTTCATATAAATATGCCAGCCTTGGCATACAAGTCTCTACACTGTGGTAACTCCGGGCAATGGGCTACCTTTTCTCTACCACAATCCCCAGCCCAGGTGCTCTCCTGAGATCAGCACCAGCAGGTGTTCGTGAGACGGAGGCTGAGGTCAGAAGTGTGGACTCTGGAAAAAGCTATCTTCCTCTGTCTGATTCCTCTGATTCAGTTAACCTCATCTAATAAACCCAAGATTTAGGCAGGCAGCTTGTGGGCCATTCTAACCACCAATGCGAATCAGTTTAGATGATGAAAAAGTATCCTTCTCAAATAGCAACACTCACTTTTGAACCCATTCTACATGAAAGCCAAGGTAATTTATCTGACATTTCATAGGCGATATGAAAATATTTCTGGAAAGCAAAAGTATACTCTGAGTCTTCAGTCTTGTACAACCATATTCACCATGAAAAAAAGCATGAAGGCATTTCTGTTTCTTGTTATATGTCCCCAATCTCTTAGGCTGCCAACTCAACCCATCCGTCTTTGAAGTCACTTTTGTGGCAGAGAAGCTTCTTATGTAGGAAAGACGCAGAATATCCTAAGTTGGCCTACAGCCCTTTCTTGTTATTCATTGAGGTTTCAGCTTACAGCTGGTCTGGCTCAGAAGCAACTGGCTGAAAGGCTTAAAACGCCATCAGTTTGGTTCAGATTTATTTTTTCCCAGAAGCCATGCAAGGTCCAGACTGCTCAGTCCATAAGCTTAACAAAGGAGTACTCTTTGGGTGCCAGCATACCCTTCAACTGCAGAAAGAAGCAGGCCCTTTAAGCTTCCTAAAATAGAAACAGAAAGGACGTTTTAAAAACAATGTCTTGCAAATTAATTCTGCTAAATTTTGATGGTGGATAATTATTATGCATAACTTTTACTAATAGTATACATGAATTTAATAGCATATGGACAAGAAACTCAATTAGTAGTATCCAAATATCCAGTTACCCATGTAATCTCAGGATAAAATAAAGGTTTTCATAACAATTCACAGTCACCCAACATCTGCAGAGTACTTAAAAGATGATACTGTAACCCACAGCAATCACAATGTATTAACAAACAATTCTTTTGTGAGCTTTCAACCATATTAAACATTTAAAGAGTTTTTCTTCTGTGCTGTGTTCTTTTAAAGCATTTGTAGGTAAATATTTTAGGATTTTTCATTCCTTTCTTTCAAAGAACAAAGATGATGAATGAACAGTGCCATTCTTTATCTGCCAACTTAGTCTTTGGATGTAAAATTTCCATTAAACTATTAGAGAATATTCAGAAATAAGGAATAAGATTTCTCTTTTTTTTTTTTTTTTGAGACGGAGTTTCGCTCCTGTTACCCAGGCTGGAGTGCAATGGCGCGATCTCGGCTCACCGCAACCTCCGCCTCCTGGGTTCAGGCAATTCTCCTGCCTCAGCCTCCTGAGTAGCTGGGATTATAGGCACATGCCACCATGCCCAGCTAATTTTTTGTATTTTTAGTAGAGACGGGGTTTCACCATGTTGACCAGGATCGTCTCGATCTCCTGACCTCGTGATCCACTCGCTTTGGCCTCCCAAAGTGCTGGGATTACAGGCTTGAGCCACCGCACCAGGCCAAGATTTCTCTTATAACAATCCCTCTAGAATACTCACCATCCTCAGGGGGAAAATATCCTCAGCAAAGTGTAGCATTAGGCATGTCCTCATCACAAAGGGCACTGACCTCAATGCAGGAAGGGGACAAGTGAAACCACTGAACATTAATTTCATGTATTAATCCTTCACTAACTTGCTCATCCCCCATTTGGCACTCAAAAAAAATCATTCCTAGGTCTAAGGAGGTTATCTAGAAGTGAAATCTTCTGAAATACTTCCAATAACAGGAGATGGTTTTACCAAATATGTTGATCAACTGACATGCTTAAGATAACTACATTAACCCTTCTGTGGGAGGCAAATTATCCTCATTTTGCCAATAAGGAAAAGGTAGAGATTTCAATAGCTTGAAAAACTAGAACCCAGCTCCCCTCATATCTTTTCTAACCTTCTTTCTGTTTGTTCCTGTTGACATGTTAAATGCTGCATTATTCCTGTAAGTAAACAGGCTGGCTTTGTTCTCTCAAATATCTCAGCAAAAAAATGTCCCAAACATCTCAGTTCTATTCCATTCTGGAGAGATGTGTATAGGAAAAACTTGATTAAAATGGAGTCATACAGACTAAAGAAGGCTTTCAGACCTATTTGCTTTATCTAGAACCGTAACTATCATCAGATTATGGGTGATCTTAAATCACCCACTAGAAAACTAGTGTGTGAAAATGCAGGTTCTGGAAACAAATGCATCATGCATTGAAACCGTGGTCTCAGACTACGTAAAGACAGAGTGCTGTTTAGCCACAGCTGCTCCTTATCCCCCTCCCAGGTGGACACATGTCGTTTTCCTGAGCTATGAACAAGCTACGCATGGAGCCAAGCTGACTGAACATGAACCTGTGGAATGGATAAAGTTAACGAGAAGCCTTGTGCTTTGGTTCATAATAGAGAGCAGCTGAAATCAAATTATTTTCTTTTTTGAGAGACAGGATCTTGCTTTGTTGCCTAGGCTGGAGTGCAGTGGTGCCATCCTAGCTCACTGGAGCCTCGAATTCTTGGGCTCAAGTCATCTTCCTGCTTCAGCCTAAAATCAGATTCTTTAGGAGAAGTCAATGTGTTCTCTAGTTGGAAAATTAGCCTGTTTGGGGAAATGTGGGTTGGTTTTTAGAATTTAGATTGGAAAAAAACAAACAAACAAACAAAAGCAAAACCAGTTGAGTTAACTTGGTTGGACCTTGAAATAAAGTCCAACTTGGTTAGACCTTGAAATAAAGAGGAGGACCACACCCCTAAGGCCTACAGTAGCTGCTGGCTCCCATTTTCTTCTGAAGATTAAGGTTCGTTTGCTACATTTCACAGATCAGTAAGTGCACTGAAGAGACAGCTTTTTTCTTTCAGAATCTGGAAATGATTCTCTCTTAAAATGGGCTCAAAATATTATTTACTAGCTTAGGGGAAAAATAAAAATGGTTTGTATTTTAACAATTTCTTTTTAAAATTCAATGTCATACTTAGCTTTACCTAAATTATCCAATAATTATAGGACTATACCTCTTGAAAAGTTAGTAAAAACCTTTCGTTAGTAAGTTATTACGCGGTGCAACTTGAATGTAATATTTTCTCATCAGGTTCATTTTAGATGTAATTACAACTTTCTTTTCATAATGAGTTGAAAGTATATATAAATCATGAGAACTACCATGAGCGTCTCTGAAAAAGAGTTACTACGTCATGACAAGCCGATCTTAACTGAAACATGTTTCTCAAATGTCATGTTCACACAGCTGTGATGACAGTGCTTATCAGTCCTGTCCCCACCACACCACCAACCTACACAGAAAAAGGCAGGCAGTGAGTTGGTTCCGGTATGACCTGATATGAAGATGTTTCATTCTTTAGTCTCAGCAATTGACATCACAAACTTGGGTACAAGCTACAAAATTGAGGTGAGTGGTAATTCTGTTTCCTGACGAAACTCTGAAAAAGAGTCATTAGTCAACCGGCAGCACTGTAACCCTAGTTCCTCAGATGGTCTCCTATCAAGAGCGGCATGGACGATGTATGGCAAGGGCCCCTCATTTAGATCCCTTGGGAGGCAGCTGAGCCCTCTGCTGCTGAGCGGGGGAGCCCCTCCCGTTTCCAGCATCCTCTGACCCACCAGCAGACACTCTGCTGCTGTGAAGGACTTGTTACCTGCTCTTGGCTGCTGGGCCCTTTCAGTTCCTGTGTTCTGTGGGGCACAGTCCATTCTTGAGACTTACAATCAACTAGGTTAATTCTTAAGTCTTTTCTTATTATCATAAAAATTTTTACAAATTACAGATGGCTCAAAAGAGCAAGATCAGTGAACAGCTTTTCCTAACTCCAGGCAAAGCTCAGAGGTAGGTGCTCTGTGCCTGTTAACTGCCTAATTTGTTTTTCCTTCATTCAGTCATCTCCCTTCTCGTACTTCTCCATTTCCCTACTTTGAGAACAAAACCAATTTTTTCCCCTCTAAAGGTAAAAAATATTTTCTCTACAGAATGCCCTATAAATTCTCCAGAGATTTTTTTTTGTAGTTAAAAAAAAAAAGCAAACAAGGTGGGAGGATGGCTTGAGCCCAGGAGGTTGAGGCTGCAGTGAGCCATGATCACTCCACTGAGCTCCAACCTGGGCAACACAGAGAGATCCCGTCTCAAAACCCAAAAACAAAAAAACAAAAAAATAAGTACTGCAGGCTTAGATCAGTATGTAACTAATGCGGTGATCTTTAAAGGAACGCATCTGCATTCACACTTTGACTCTGCACTAAGTCTCTGCTATGATCAGGCCAGGGAACAGAACCACGTGGAAGCGAGACGCCTCCGGAGCGGGTTCAGCTGCCTCCTCAGCACCCACAGCCCTGATCTGGGGCAGGGAGGGACAGGCGGTAAGCAGTGCCATCTGTGTGGGGCAGGGTCTTGTGGGCCTGGGAGCTGGTCTGTTGCTGTAACTCTGTCCTTCTACACTCAAGGCTGATGCTATTCTTCCAGAACTTACACTAACAATACATGCGCTCCCATTTAAGGAAATGTTTACAAACATAATGTCAAATTCTGCAAAGGCCACGTCCTCACCTGGAGAAAGCAGAGATGTGCTCAGTTACCCGGAATCCTTTGCTGCCTCTAGCTTTGCAGCATGCAGACAGCCCCCATTTCTCTGCAGGTGCCACCTTCGCTCCACCCAAACCTGATTTTAAACCATTCCGCCTGAGAGGGTCTTAGGACGTGGCCTCAGGTCACAACCAACAATCAATTTCCAACCAAATCAACCAATCAGTTAAAGCAGAGTGATCCAGAAAACAACAGCTAAAGAGAGAGGAGGGAGAAGAGCAGCTTTAGGAGACCTAAATTCACATAAACTTGGCAGTGAATGAAGTATATTTAAGTATTGGGCATAGTAATGTATATGTTATAATTATATATAACAGGAAGACATGAAGGTCAGGAACTGCCTGCAAAATGCCCCCATACCCAGCTCATCTCTCTCAACCAGGGAAGGAGGCAGCAGGTGCGGTGCTAAGTGGTTGCATTTACAAAGAGGAAGAAAAGAAGCAGCTGTCCACTTTACTCTTATATATTAGCTGTGTTCGTTAAAAAAAAAAAAGACTTGAAATTTATTTTAAAACATATTCTAGAACATAGAAGAAATTATGAAAGATGCAAAAAAATCTCATCAGATTTCCCCAAATTTTATGCTGGGAACAGAATGCTGGTCTTCCATAAATTAATGCTATGTTCACAGGGAACCTAGTTGCTGTCTTACCTGGAGGTGTGTCTGAGTGGCTGGGTGGATGGCAGCGCCACTCTCTTGACCTAGCTGGTGTCTCATAGTGAGTGCATCCAGAGTTGATGCTGGCTCTGCCAGTGTGTTGTTATATCTAGATAAATCAGTAGCTGCTGTAAAGTTTTCAGAATGAGCTTGGATTGGAACAGTCCCACCAACCAAATCTTGACTATGATTTGAATCCAAAGACGTTGAGCTTTCATTTTTTGGATTGAGAGAATGAATGTCTTCTCCAGTGAGTTCAGGATAAGAATCACAAAAAGAGATGTGGTCACCACCCACGGGATTCTGCATCAGAGGCCAGGCGTCTGAAAACTCGCCACAGATGGACCGTGAGAGGGACCCGAAGAAAGTCGGCACCATCTCCCCAGCTGGGCTTGCGTTTCTGCACACACATTCAAAAGAGCTTAAAGTCTTCGGTAAGGCGAAAACACTACTACAAAGCAGCATGTCAGCTATAATTTTAGGTCTTCTAGATGAAATAGCAATTTACTGAGTCAGAATTCTAGTGTTTCCTATTGTTATAAACTTGCCTCAGTAGAGTAAGTCAAATTACTCCATTTACTTTAAAACTGAATTTTGACACCTCCTTCTAATTAATATAGTTCTACTTAATCCATTGTCTAAAACATGCAGTTTCCTGGGTCTCAACTGAGTTTCCTTGAGTGCTGTTCTAAAATTCTAAAATAACATGCCTTGGGTAAAAATTATTTACATATTAATTACTTACAGATGACAGAGGTGTCAAAAATCACAAACATACGACAAAAATAAAGTTAATGAAGTGAAAAATATAAAGAATGCTGCCTAATTCTTGCCTGAGAATTGTGCCCCACCAGTATCTGGAATGTCAAGAATATTTAAGAGGCAATGTTTCCATTGGTAAATTAGATGAAAATTGGTAAATTAGCAGAATGTATATTTGCACAGGAAGATATGAAATGACTGATTGAAAGTACCCAGTTACCTCGCCTGAAGACTGGCTGCAGAATGCATCCCACAGCTGAGAGTCGCCCGGTCGGGGCTGCAGGCCTCATCGCAGCACAAGGATGGGAGCAAGTGCACCGGCCCTAGGAAGACAGCGCAGGTGTGAAGCACAGGACCCACCTCCAGCAGCTTCCTCTTTAACAACACTTCAACACTGCTCTTGGAAATGTAGATGTTCCCCCTTGGGTGACTTCTGGGGGAAAGGGAATATAAAGTTCTCTTTTTTCTCATCTTAAACAAATGATGAACCACTTATATAAGCTACCGAGAGTAGACAGAAGAAGAAGGGTGGATGCTGGGTGCTGGAGCAAGGGGGAGACCAGCCTCTGTTGTCTAATAGAGACCAAGTTTCAGTTTGGGGGGATGAAAAATGTTCTGGAAGGTGAATGGTGGTGATGGTTGCATAGAAATGAGAATGTCCTTAACGCCACTTAACTGCACACTTGAAAATGGTTAACATGGTGAATTTTATGTTATGTGTATTTGACTACAATAACAAGTGGGGAAAGCAATAAAGCAGTCTGTGGGAGAGCACGAAATGAGACTCTCGGCCCCGCTCAAGACAGGAGGAGCAGGACAGCTTTCCTGCTGAGTGGCCTCCTAACACAGATGACAGCGTGAATGTTCGAACCCTCTAACTCCATACACACAGACACACCCTTTCTTTTTATTGCTAGGAATGTCACTTAAGGAATAAGTAGATGTGTGCACAGAGCTTTACAAACTGAATATATCACTGAAGCTGGATATATTTTGTGTTACAAAGATAATATAAGGTATTGAAGAAAAAATCTAAAATATAAACAGATTAGATAAGAAATTAAAAAATAAATCTTCTCCCAATCCTATGAACTGAGAATAAACTCACATTTTTGAACAGCCTTGTTGATTTCCCACTGTGTCTATATATAGATACATCATTTGGATTTACAGAACCACAAACGCACTAATGCACACAGACACACAAACACATACACAGAGGAAGACTTGGAGAAAATAGACATTTACATATATATCTATATCTATAAGTGTATGTATCCAAATTTTCCATAAGGAATCTCTCTTTACTTTTATAAACAGGAAAAAGTATTATGAAACGACAGTCTCCCTTTTAAGAAATAAACGCCAAATATTGGGCTGCAATTGCAAGCCAGTGTGAAAGAGGAAGGCACTGGCCTGGCTGCATCTGAGTCTCCCTCACAGCAAGGCCTCCATCTGGCCCATCTAAATACAGTGCACTGACCGCACTGAACTCACCGGGTTCACAGCCACCCAACAAACAAGTGTCATGCTCACCATGGGACATTTCAAAATTATTTTAAAGCAAAAGGCACTGCCATTCTTTGTAGAAATGGCTCATTCTCGGGAAAGTAAACAATAAGCCTGGGACTTATTTTGGTGGAAGAAAGAAAGAAAGTGCTAAAAGAATAATGGGGCCATGTCACAATGGCACAGGAGCCAGCCTGAAGGGACTTCCCAACACAGGGCAACCTGAGCGTCAGAATAAACAATGATGCCAAAGGGCTGTAAGTCACTGAATACAGCCCACGAGTCTACACTAAGGTAATCAATAAACGGAAAAGGAAAGTTCCCTCTTATCATAGGAAGCCAACTAATAAATGTGGAAAGAATAATGGAATTAGAAAGCCAGCGTTTGTTAACCATCATAGTTACGACTGATTCCAGTACAAATCATCAGAGCATGCTAAGCTACAAGGTGAAAGTTGGGGAGTGATAGGATATTTACAGAGTCACCAAGTATCACCCATGCGATATTTATGTATTACAAAGAGATCAATAGACATTTTAAGTTGGAGAAACCTGGCAGACACCCCCTTAACAAAGTGACCAAGGTTAGCCTGACCAGGCATAGACCAGATAGACAGCTCTGCCTCCTGACTCAGTGCGCTGAGGGCCCAGTATCCCTCAGCAGTATTTCTGACTCTAATCCTGAGGAAACATCAGACAAATCCAAATTGAGGGTCACTTTACAAAACTGTAGAATTTTGAAAAGTGCTGGCCTGTACTTTAAAAAAAAATCAATATCATGAAACACAAACATGAGGAGACCATTCCAGATTAAAAGAGACCAAAGAGATTGGACGACTAAATGCAACAGCAGTTTTCATAATTTTCTTTTGTTATTTAATAAGTATTTCTTAGAAAAGAAAACATTGGGACAATTAAGAAAATGTGAATATGCTCCGTAGATGATGGAATGGCACTGATTTAACACAAATTTCCCGTTTGAATAACGGTGCTGTTGTTACATGAGAGAAAAGGTTCTTCTTAGGAAGCAAACACTGACGTACTAAGTGGGAGAGGGACATCATATTTGCAACTGGATTTAAAATAGAAAATGAAAAACAACACACACACACACACACACACACACACACCCCAGAGAGAGAGAGAGGTTAAGCAAATGAGAACAAGGGATAACATGTTAATATTTGGGGAATCTCGATAAAGGATACTTGGGAATTCTTTGTTCTACGCTTTCAGTATTTCTGTAACTACATCAAATTCCTGAAATTATGTCAAAATAAAAAGAAAGCACTTGAAATAAGTTGCGCTGAAGCAGGATGTTGGCATGGTGGTCATTTCCAGCCACTGTGTTCTGTTAGGAGGACATGCAACAGGCCATCTGTATATTTAATCTTTCTTTTCAGATTGAAGTAAGGTGAGGCAGAGTTCACACAAACTGCATTTTATTATATTTAAAATTTTAAATTAGAGTTCATCTCTAATAAAATAAAATATTTTATTATATTTAAAATTTAAAATTAGAGTTCACTGTTTCTAGAGTCAACTCTGACTCTAGAAACAGTGTCCATGGTGTCATATCTAGGAAAACGTAATGGTTGGGGGCATTGAAGGATCACACAGTTACCATTAATAGTGTCTAAGAGTCTTATCTATGTAGGCAAAGGCAAAACTAGATCCACATACCACAGAAAGTGTATTTTATTCTTCACCCATTCCTAAAACAGGAGATAGTAATCATTAGCAGAAAAAGAATTATAATAAAAGCTTCTTATTCCATATAGCCATGTGCTACATAGCAATGTTTTGTTCAGTGATGGCCCACCTATACCATGGTGGTCCCGGAACTTTATAATACGATATTTTCCCTGTACCTTTCCTATGTTTAGATCCACAAGTACTTATCACTGTGTTGCAACTGTCTACAGTATTCAGTGCAGTCACATGTACAGGTTTGTAGCCTAGGGCAACAGGCTACACCACATAGCCTAGCTGTGTAGTAGGCTATCCCATCTAGGTTTGTGTGCACGCTGCAAGGTTTACATAGTGATGAAACCACCTAATCATGCATTTGTCAGAATGTATCTCCATCATTAAGCAATGCATGGCTGTATACACAACATGAAACTGACAATTTCTTGAGGAGAAAGATTAGACAGTTCCAAGAGGACAAGTCAATCTAATGGGATATGGTTAAAATAAATATAGATGGGTTATTAGATAAAATGGTGCCATTAGTATTGGTTCCATGGATGCTAACAGAACTGTAAAGTAGTAAGAGAACAGGGGAACTGGGGCAGACTTCTAGAGAGGCTGGTTGGTCATAGAGGATTTTAATTTGCAGAGGAGGTGAGGTGGTAGGGTGGGGAGGAGTGGGATGTGTAAGTGTAGAAACGTGCTGAGGAATATAAATACATAACAAAGTTAGTATTAAACACACTCTCAGACAACAGTGCAATACAAATGGAAGTCAAGACTAAGAAAATCACTCAAAACCATGCAATTATATGGAAATTAAATAAGGTACTCCTAAATGACTTTTGGGTAAATACTGAAATTAAGGCAGAAATCAAGAAGTTCTTTGAAACTAATGAGAACAAAGATACAACATTCCAGAATCTCTGGACTCAGCTAAGGCAGTTTTAAGAGGAAAATTCATAGCACTAAACATCCAGACAGAAAAGTTAGAAAGATCTCAAATTAACAACCTAACATCACAACAGAAAGAATTAGAGAAGAAAAAGCCAATCACCCCCAAAGCCAGCAGAAGACAAGGAATAACCAAAATCTGAGCTGAAATGAAGGAAACTGAGACATAAAAAACTACTCAAAAGATGAAAAAATCCAGGAGTTGCTTTTTTGAAAACATTAATAATAAAAGCCACTAACTAGGCTAATAGAGAAGAAAAGAGAATATCCAAATAAACACAATTAAAAATGACAAAAGGGATGTTACCACTGACCCCACAGAAATAAAAATAACTATCAGAAACTAATATGAACATCTCTATACACATAAACTAGAAAACCTAGAAGAGACAGATAAATCCCTGGACACATACAACCCTCCCAAGACTGAACCAGGAATACATTGGTTCCCTGAACAGAACAAAAATGAGCTCCAAAATTAAATTAGTAATAAATAGGCTACCAACCAAAAAAAGCCCAGGACCAGAAGGATTCACAGTCGAATTCTATAAGATGTACAAAGAAGAGCTAGTACCATTTCCACTGAAACTATTTCAAAAAAAAGAGGAGGAAGGACTCCTCTCTAACTTGTTCCATGAGGTCTGCATGATCCTGATACCAAAATCTGGCAGAGATACAACAAAAAAAGAAAACTTCAGGCCAATATCCCCGATGAACATCAATGTAAAAATCCTCAACAAATGACTTGCAAACTGAATCCAGCAGCACATCAAAAAAGGTAATCCACCACAATCAAGTAGGCTTCATCCCTGGGATGCAATGTTGGTTCAACATACACACATCAATAAATGTGATTCATCACATAAACAGAACTAAAGACAAAACCACAGAATTATCTCAACAGATGCAGAAAAGGCTTTTGATAAAATTCAACATCCCTTCACGTTAAAAACTCTCAATAAATTAGGTATTGAAGGAACATACTTCAGAATAATAAGAGAAATCTATGACAAACACACACCCAACATCATACTTGTTGGGGAAAAGCTGGAAGCATTCCCCGTGAAAACTGGCACAAGACAAGGATGCTCTCTCTCACCACTCCTATTCAACATAGTATGGGAAACCCCAGCCAGGGCAATCAGGCAAGAGAAAGAAATAAAGGACATCTAAACAGGAAGAGAGGGAATCAAACTATCCCTGTTTGTAGATGACAGGATTCTATATCCAGAAAAACCCCACAGTCTCTGCCCAAAAGCTTCTTCAGCTGATAAACAACTTTAGCAAAGTTCCAGGATACAAAATCAACGTACAAAAATTATTAGCATTCCTCTACACCAACAACAGCCAAGCTGAGAGCCAAATCAGCAAGACAATTCCATCCACAATTGCCACAAAAAGAATAAAATGCTTAGGTAGGAATACAGCTAACCAGGGAGGTGAAAGATAGTTACAAAACACTGCTCAAACAAATCAGAGAAGACACAAACAAATGAAAAACATCGCATGTTCATGGATAGGAATAATCAATTTCATTAAAATGGCCATACTGCCCAAAGCAATGTACAGATTCAGAGCTATTACTATCAAACTGCCAATGACATTCTTCACAAAACTAGAAAAAACCTATTTTAAAATTCATATGGAACCAAAAAAGAGCCTGAGTAGCCAAGGCAATTCTAAGCAACAGAGCGAAGCTGGAGGCATCATGTTAACTGACTTCAAACTATAAGGTCACAGTAACCAAACAGCATGGCACTAGTACAAAAACAGGCACACAGACCAACGGAACAGAATAGAAAGCCTGGACAAAAGGCCACACATATAAAACTATCTGATCTTTGGAAAAGTTGACAAAAACAAGCAATGGGGAAAGTCTCCCTATTCAATAAATGGCGCTGGGATAACTGGCTAGCATATGCAGAAGAGTAAAACTGAACCCCTTCCTTACACCATATACAAAAATCAACTCAGGATGGATTAAAGACTTACATGTAAAAAGCAAAACTATAAAACCTGGAAGAAAACTTAGGCAATACCATCCTGGACAAAGGAATGGGCAAAGAATTCATGACAAAGACACCAAAAGCAATCACAACAAAAGCAAAAATTGACAAATCAGATCTAGTTAAACATAAGAGCTTCTGCACAGCAAAAGAAACTATCATCAGAGTAAACAGGCAACCTACAGAATGGGAGAAAATATTTGCAAACTATCCATCTGATAAAGGTCTAATATATAGCATATATAAGGAACTTAAACAAATTTACAAGAGAAAAACAACCCCATCAAGTACTGGGCAAATAACATGAACAGACACTTCTCAAAAGAAGACATACATGTGACCAACAAGCATATGAAAAAAAGCTCGGCCGGGTGCGGTGGCTCACGCCTATAATCCCAGCACTTTGGGAGGCCGAGGCGGGTGGATCACGAGGTCAAGAGATCAAGACCATCCTGGTCAACAAGGTGAAACCCCATCTCTACTAAAAATACAAAAATTAGCTGGGCATGGTGGCGCATGCCTGTAGTCCCAGCCACTCGGGAGGCTGAGGCAGGAGAATTGCTTGAACCCAGGAGGCGGAGGTTGCGGTGAGCTGAGATTGCGCCATTGCACTCCTGTCTGGGTAACAACAGCGAAACTCCATCTCAAAAAAAAAAGAAAAAGAAAAAAAGCTCAACAGCCCTGATCATTAGAGAAAATCAAATCAAAACCACAATGAGATACCATCTCATACCAGTCAGAATGACTATTATTAAAAAGTCAAAAAACAACATATGCTGGCAAGGTTGCAGAGAAAAGAAAATGCTTACACATTTTGGTGGAAGTGTAAATTAGTTCAACCATTGTGGAAAGCAGTGTGGCAATTCCTCAAAGAGCTAAAAACGGAACTACCACCTGACCTAGAAATCTCATTATTGGGTATATACCCAGAGGAATATAAATCATTCTACCATAAAGACACACACACGTGAATGTTCACTGCAGTACTATTCACTATAGCAAAGACATGAAATCAACCTAAATGCCCATCAATTACAGACTGGATAAGAAAAATGTGGTACATATACACCATGGAATACTATGCAGCCATAAAAAGGAATGAGATCATGTCTTTTGGGGGAACATGGACGGAGCTAGAGACCATTATCCTCAGTAAACGCAGAAACACAAAAGCAAACACCACATGTTCTTACTTTTATAAGTGGGAGCTAAAAGATGAAAACACATAAACACAAATAAGGGAACAACACACACTAGGGGTCTAGTGGAGGGTGGAGTAACTATTGGGTAATAGGCTTAATAACTGGGTGATGAAATAATCTGTAAAATAAACATGTAACACGAGTTTACCTATATAATAACCTGCCCATGTACCACCGAACCTAAAATAAAAGTTAAAAAGTTGGTATTACCCCTATTTGCTCAAGTTAGAGATGAGTTTCCCTTTGAATTACTTTCCTAAACTTTCTTTTCTTTTTTTTTTGAGATGGAGTTTCGCTCTTGTTACCCAGGCTGGAGTGCAATGGCGTGATCTCAGCTCACCGCAACCTCCGCCTCCTGGGTTCAGGCAATTCTCCTGCCTCAGCCTCCCAAGTAGCTGGGATTACAGGCACACGCCACCATGCCCAGCTAATTTTTTGTATTTTTAGTAGAGACGGAGTTTCACCATGTTGACCAGGATGGTCTCGATCTGTTGACCTCGTGATCCACCCGCCTCGGCCTCCCAAAGTGCTGGGATTACAGGCTTGAGCCACCGCGCCCGGCCACTTTCCTAAACTTTCATTCTGTCAATAGTCTAAGAGGCAATGATGATTGTATAAAACCTTAAAATGGACTTCTCAGCTCTGTCTTCTTTAAGAAATTCTAAAAACAGACATATTTTTAAAGTAGGCATATTAGCATTTGTATCCATAAAGGATACAAACTCCTACTCTCCAAAAGGTTACCGCGATTTTAAATAAACTGACTCAAAACAAAGAAGAAAAACATGCCCCAGAAGTTGCTGAAAAATTCTAGAATTTTAACGGGATGCTAATTTCCTTTTTAATACTTAAGAGACTCAAAACATCCAAACCAACAGGAGGCAGTGGAGAATAATTTAACAAGCTTAGTTTTAACTAGAAGACTCAACACAGCCACCTCGCTGTGAGGTGAATAAACCAGGACCCATTCTTGCTGCTTCCAGTTCTGCGGTCGCCTCCAGTCCTCCTGAGGACCCTTCCCTGCTGAACTTACCGCAGGTCTGTGCTGAGTCCCGGTGGCACTGGCAGCACGCTCTGTGGGCATATTCGTGGAGCTGAGGTCTGTCAAAACACGACAGCTCAGAACCGTTGTATTGAATGTCCTGTGATCGCAGAGACCCTAAATGAGGGGTGAGAACTCTGTCAGGGAACACAGTCTTCTCTCTAGGAGAGTCCCGTGAACATCCAGTGCAGATCTGTGCCATTCTAGCTTTCATATTTTTAAAGAACAAGCCAGCCATCCTTCCACTGTCTGATATGTCTGATGACTTCTTCTTACATGGAGGCACAAACATGAAATAATTTGTTAAGAAAGTTCAAAATATAAGGTACTAATGTTGCCAGTGCTGAGAATGATTTTTATTTTTGCCTATTGGCACAGGGACATCACAGCCTTGTCAGTCTCCTTACGAAGCTGTGCCACCTCAGTGAGGTCTATAGATGACCCTTGAGCAGTGTGGATTTGAACTGCACAGGTGACTTATACACAGATTTTCTTCAGCCTCTGCCACCCTGAGACAGCAAGGCCAACCCCCTCTTCCTCCTCAGCCCATTCAATCTGAAGATGATGAGGATGACAGCCTTTCCAATGATCTACTTCCACTTAATGAAAAGTAAATCTATTTCATTTCCCTTATGATTCTCTTAATAACATTTCTTTTCTCTAGCTTACTTTAATGTAAGAATATAAGGTCTAATACATACAACAAGCCAGGTGCAGTGGCTCACACCTGTAATCCCAGCACTTTGGGAGGCCGAGGCGGGCAGATCACTTGAGGCCAGGAGTTCGAGACCAGCCTGGCCAACATGGTGAAACCCCATCTCTACTAAAAATACAAAAATTAGCCAAGCGTGGTGGTGGGTGCTTGTAGTCTCAGCTACTCAGGAGGCTGAGGCAGGAGAATCAACCCAGGAGGCAGAGGTTGTGGTGAGCTGAGATTATACCACTGCACTCCAGTCTGGAGTGGACAGAGCAAGACTTTGTCTTGGGGAAAAAAAAATAACATACAAGATGTTTTGTGGGCGGTCAACATTGACATGTAGATTTTCAGCTGCTGCCCTAGCCCTCTGCTGTTCAGGAATCACCTGTGTTTCTTGTGCCCTGTGTTCTTTCACAGCTTGTTGGCGCTGGTCTCAGCCAAGTCTCTTGTAAAACACTTGCGCAACAATGTCATAAATGCCCTTCCCCCAAATGCTAAGAAATGGAATGAGCTCAAAACTTACAGCTGGGTTTCTTCTCCATAAACTGTCTCTTACAATAGATGACACAGAGGATGAGCAGAGCCAGCAGGACGGTGGCCAGAGCGCTGCAAATGACAGCAGCCAGTGCTGTGTCCCGTGGGCTGGAGGCCGTGGATGCGATCTTCACCAGGTTGACCTTGCTGGCACCTGAAACCACAGGAATGGGGTCAGCATGCTCTGGACAACTGGAGATGCAGTGCTTATGGTGCAGCTGGTGGGTACCTTTACCAGTGGCCTTCCCATGCTGTGAGAAAACCGACACAAGACATTTAAAGATGGCTCAAGCATTCCCCCAACCAGAAGATGTCTTTAATGGGATACCTTTACTCGGCACCCCACAATGTGCTGGGTGTCCCTCTCCTCTGTTCCCACAGCATTACAGACACACCCCCCTCAACACATTGTGTTGCTGGAATCTGCCTTCAGCTCCACCAAAGCAGAATTCTTTGTGAGCAGAATTCACGTCTGTCATCTTTATCTCTGGCTGCCCAGTACTTGGCATGTGGCAGGGAACTAATGTTTCTTATTTAATTGGAATTACACCACATTTTTATGCATATATGCTTTTTTGGGCAACTTTAGGGGAAAACAAGGAATTGGATCATCCAGAACCTTAGAGTAGACCTCAATTTTTGAGACAGTAAACATTTCTGAATGGCTTATCTGTTAACCTACTGGAAAACATCTAAGTTTTGGAGGCAGGCATACTCATGTGCTAAGACAGTCGAGGAATAGATGTTATTTTAGAGGCAGTAATGCTTTGTGGTTCTGGGCAGATTCTGCACCCCATGGCCTGGGTCAACCTCTACCTGTGTTACCTTGAGACACTGACTTGAGTCTCAAGTTGCCATCTGTTCAAATGGAAGTAATAATAGCAACTGACTCATGAGTTATGTAAAGTGTGTGGGACTGGCTGTGCTGTAGAATCCTTAGCCACTGTAATGATGATGATAATAATTAGCATTTTAATTATCCTGAGGGTACCAGAATAAACAACCTCATTTAAATCAGAGATCTACATCCGGTGCAGTTAAACAGCATATCCTATTTAACTAACCCCAAAATAATATGAAAGAAACAGATTTAAAAGGGGCATGAAATCTACATAGAGGGGCAGTTACATTTTCTCTTTCCCAAGCAGACGCCCTGAGGGAGCTGAGGGGCCCTCACTCTGCTTCCTCGGCAAGCGCCGCTCGCCATGGGAGACGTCCCTTGACTGAGGATTACTCTAGATAGAGGTATAATGTGTGCTTCACATGTCATTTCAGGTTGTCTAGAAACCAAATTTAAAGACTAAGAGAGAAAGAGCGACAGAGAGAGACCCTGTCTCAAGAAAAAAAAAAAGAAACAGGTAAAATTAACTGTAGTCTATGTTAGTTAGTCAATATATCTTAAATATTGCATTTCAATACATATTCAATATAAAAATTATTAATAACATATTTTGCATTCTCTGTTTTGTATTAAAATTTCAAAATCCGATGTGGTTTTACAGACACAGCTCATCTCAATTTAGACTAGCTACACTTTCAATGCTCAGTAGCCACACATGGCTAATGGCTATGTAATGGACACGACAACTCTAGAGACTGAGGGTCATTTATACAAGCTGGCATCCAAACACAAACCGATTTGGCATCTGGTGCCTTTCTCCTACTTCCTGGCTACAAACCCCTCACTCCCAATAAGATTGTATGACACTTGAGGCTAGAGCCAGAGAGAAACACCTGGGTTAATATTACTGAATCATAAAAACAGGATAGCAGGAACTATCATCTTGGAGCATGAGTCTTGGTATTTCCAGTCTCAGTAATTCTAGGCCACACATATGAAGGTCTCTTATTGCTACCTGGGAAGGTACACACATCATATGTTTTGGGTTTAGATGACTAAGACTCATAATCCAATCATGCATTTTAAAGGACATTTATTTGTAAACATGTTTAATATTCACAAGATACATTTGATCACTTTTAACTCTATAGAACACTATAATAAGCAAACAGCACACACTATTTGTTCGTTATACAGCAAGTTAAACGACACCCCTGACCTGATAGAGATTAAATCTAATCTGAAACAGCCTCTATCAGTGGACAGAGTCACAAAAGGACCTATGAGCAGAAGCACAGCTGTGAAAACACTGAAAATGTGTAACTGGAGAGGAACTTGCATCCCACGCAAGTTGAAATAGCAGCCACAGAGAAGGGGAAGTGACTTGGAAATGAAAGCATTATCTAGCTGGACCAAATGGTGAAGCTGTGGGAGACTGTCATTTACACTGGTGAGGAATGCACTCACTTCAGGGTGAGAAGAATCTCCTTAGCTTAATTTTTTGGTCAAATAACCCAGGCCTACACAATATGGAGTTTTAACAAGAGCTATCATAAAAATGAAATTTAATACATGATTTGAGTGGAGGACTTCCAAGTTCTCAACTGTTCTAACTATTAAGCTCATCAACTGACACACTGGATATTTAGAAAAATCCTGGTAAGAATAGAAATTTCAGGTTAAAGTAGTATCATAATTAGAGCCTTTTAAGTTCTTATTGTTTAAAACCCTTCTAAAACATATTTTAAGTTATTTTCCTTAATATAAAAGAACTGTCTCTAACTTACAGATAGGTTAAAATGTCCCCAGAGTGGAGATTTTCTTCTTAATTTGGTAGTTTGTAACTCAGGATTTATACTCTCTAAACATGTCTTGTTAACACGTATCTAATACTATAGGGCACTATGCTGTAATGTCAGTGATATCTGGTTGCCACAGTAACATCAATTTCAGAGGAAAAGTACATCCAATGTGCCCCTTCTCTACACATTTCCAGAGACAGTAGCATCTAAAGATGAACAAGAAAAACATACAAGTTTTACTTCTTGATTTTTGACACCTATATAACAATAGGCATCTTATGGATTCAGACACCCTCCGAGAGTCCTCATGGGAAGCAGGAGTCCAGAAACCACATTCTTGATTCTTGTTTATACGTTGAGTTTATGATAACACTTAGAGCAAATTTTTTTTTCTAGGAAAGGGGTTCATCATTTTTAGCTTTGTCACATATAGCAATGCAGACAAAAATGGGAGATTGAACTGAATATCATTTGATTTTAGAACAGTTCTAGAAACTAATTCTTTTTAGTTTCTACTAAACATCTATTTTCTTATAATTCTTTTTGACTTGAGCAGTGAAAAATCAAAACCAAAACCAAAAATAAGGTACCAAGGGGGGCAGACTTATACTAGCTATATAAAGTGGCTTCCACTCTGTAAAGTTTTTGTTGAGATGTTGTGATAATTCCTAAGAAAAAAACCTTTCTGCTCTAGAGGAAAAGGTATTGTTTTGCTAACCTGTGGCAATGATACTGAGATGAAAGATTCTTTCCACTCACATGCCTTGACTAATGCCCCGTCCTAGTTCACTAAGCAGACTGAATGCCTGCCAGGAATTCTGCCCGTATCTTTTTAGGATTCTGACATTACTTCTGAATAAGTGGAAATATGAATAGCCACATGCCTTGAAAAGTTTTTAACTTTTTCGGAATACAAAGTATTTCTTACTCTAACCAATTAAGTTATTAAATTCCACCATAATCTTGTCAGTACCTTTCAGCAATTTACTTCAGAGCAAGGATTGTTTTCTTTCAGCTTAAATTTTACCCACATTACATACATTACATGGGTTCAGTTTTATATATTCATCTCCTTAGGAGTTCAATGCAACTGAATAATTACGTCCTGTGACATTTATTTGTCTATTATGAGTATGACATCCTATAAGGCATTAAATAAGTTGGATGAAATAGAAGAATAGAAAGAAATCTTCTGAATAGAAGAAAAGGAAATGGAGGTCTCCAGCACAGTCTGGCAAATGTTTTTATAAAGTCCCACCTGAACTTCTTTGGGTAAACTGAGGTACAGAAATCCACATCCTCTCCCCACATTTCATCCCCTAAAGAGCTTCAAGCATAGCTGGAAAGCCTTGAAACACGTATATTGGAGAGATTCGTCTCACAGAACAAAGGCAAGAGCAACTTCTCAGATGCTGCAAATGAGGAACCCATTTGTAAGCCACAGAGGTGGCTAAAATGTGCATGCTAGCTTCTTTAGACACAGCTTCTCACACAGCTTCAGTGACTCACCCTCCTCACTAAGAAGTGGTGGATGTTCATTGGTAAGCTTCGTTTGATACCCAAGAAAATCAAGACCTTGACCCAGGCGCGGTGGCTCAGGTCTGTAATCCCAGCACTTTGGGAGGCTGAGGCAGGTGGATCACGAGGTCAAGAGATTGAGACCATCCTGGTCAACATGGTGAAACCCCGTCTCTACTTAAAAATACAAAAAATTAGCTGGGCATGGTGGCACGTGCCTGTAATCCCAGCTACTCAGGAGGCTGAGGCAGGAGAATTGCCTGAACCCAGAAGGCGGAGGTTGCGGTGAGCCGAGATCGCGCCATTGCACTCCAGCCTGGGTAACAAGAGCAAAACTCTGTTTCAAAAAAAAAAAAAAAAAAAGAAAATCAAGACCTTGAGCCACATGCTCAAGGTTACCCAGTGAAGCAGAGGCAGCTCGAAAACTGGAATTGGGCCTTCTGAGCCCCTCCAGTAAGCCGCACTGCTCCACAGATGCAGGTAGCTTCTGAGATCAAAACATTCTGTCGGTAATGATATCCAAAGTATAGCTCATGGTTGTTTAGGTAAGGGCCATGCTCATTTCTGTGGGGGGAACTGAGCCAGGCCATGGGGCAGTCACAGGGCTTTCTAGTAGCAGAGCTGCCTGGGTGTGCATGGCAGCTGGTTCTGCAGTTCGCCTGCCCCCAGAGATGTTCCGGGTCCCCCGCCTTACCGTGGCCTCGGTGTCTGCATTAGGGGCCATTGTGATCAGACGTGGGGGCAGTGAGCACACTAGGCAATGATGGGATGTCCTGAGGCAGGGAGGGGGGTGTTCTGTGGAGGTGACTGCGTCTGGAAAGGGCCCACAGAGGGAGGGAATGGGAAAGGACACACACAGGCAGTCACAGCTGGCCTCTGCCTGGGCTTGCCTGGCTCCCTCCTCTGCTTTCTACTGCTACTCCCTACTTGCGTAACCCCTCCAAATTCCTACTACGCAATGTTTAAAACCCTGCTCAACAAAACATCCTTCTT